CCATCTAGTGGCAATGGCGTGATCAATTAGCGTGTCAAGGACAAAGCAAAAGCATTGTCCTGAGGCAGTTTTGGTGGGGGGGGGGGGGGGGGGGGGGCTTGGGGTGTCACCAGAGTTTCATCTTCCAATGGTCTCAATGCCTGCTCAGGAAGACAATAGTCAATGTCCTGGTTATCCAAAGGATCCTGAGCTGGTGTTGAAACCAAAGGTAGCTGAAACTCTGCAGCAGGATCCAGGAAGTCCTCGGAGGTACATTCGATCTCCGAGAATCCCAGACCTGTGGTCGAAAAGTCTAGGGCATCAACTGACCACTCACAACTAGAGACAAGGGCAGTTAGGGGAGGGCTAGCAAGTTCTTCTTCTGAAACAGAAGCAGTAGGAGCAGGAACAATATCACAACATGTGGAAACAGTGGCCGGAAGAACATCATCACAACATGTGTATACATTGGACAGAGGAACATCATCATCATCATCATTACATACAACGGGATAGAGTTTCCTTCATATAAATTTGTTTCAAACATTAAAAAAGAAAAATCTAAAGTCGCTCATTTTCTAATGAATCCGTGTCTAAGTAGATATATCTAGATCTATATCAAATCATAGGAAACACATTCACTTGACAGAGGAATGCTATCTCAGCAGCAACGCTGTGACTTTGAGGGTCATTTCATCGAATATTAGAATGCATTGCGTCTCTCTCAGCTTTGTGGGAAACTTTAACTTTGAAAGCTTTAACAATGATTTCCGGAAAACCTGGATATATTGCTTTTTTTCATTGTTCTTTTCAAAGTTTTCACAGATGGTAATGTAAATTGATTTTGGAGTAGCGGGTATGCTTTAGGAGAAGCATGATACAATGAAAGCGGATGGCTTTTGTCTGTGGCCCTCCATTTCTTTCCTTTCATTTGTGTCATGTCTAGCTGTTTGCTGAAAAAAGCATGAGACATGGGAGGTAGATATTTGGCTGCCAAAGTTTTGATCAGTTCTATTTCTTTCCTTGAATGTAGATTTGATGCAGTTTTTCCTGGGCTTGCTTTTAGGGTTTTTTTTTATTGTTTTCTTCAGTGACATAATTTTCTTCTTCAACTGTCTTATTGTTTCATGTTCTATCTCCACAGATCTAGTGGGCTGGGTAGCCTAATAGAAATAGAATAATTGTACTTGATACAACACTGTGGGCTACTTACATCATGGCAAATACATAAAAGTATGCAATAAATAAGCCTCAAAAGTTACAGACAAGTATATATCAAGGCACAAATTAATGTTCTTTGTCAGATACAATAAGATCATTTGATCAACATATTATGGCCAGCATACACATGCATCACATTCAGTCACACAGCATAAATTAGGTTCTAAGTGATAGATTAAGATAAAAAGGATTTGTTGATTTTTTTTCCATATGTTTTTCTTTAATTTATGTGTATTGTTATTATTATCATTAGGCTATTGGTTTTAAAAAATTGTTGGTCATGTTTAATTTCTTACTAATAATTGATAAAATTACATAATAAAGGAAAGAGTATTCCAGAATTTAACATAGTAGGCCCTAGGCCTATACTGGTTTAACAGCTTGCCCCCTTTAGCCCTTACAGTAACATTCTTTCTATCACATTTTGATTTACCGTAGGCTGTTAATTGTTAAACATAATAATATAGACTCTAGTGGTTGGGTATTATTAATATTTGTGTTTAAATCTATGTATAAATACTTTTTTAAAAACTAGATCTAAATCTAGACCTAGATCTAATTTTAAAATGTACGAGGTTTTTTTTGAAAATATTTTGTTTTACCTGTGAAACTTTCTGGTATTTGAGGTTGAGAAATTTCTTCCCATGTTGTTGATGAGCTCGAACATTTTGTAAGCACAAAAGTCCTTTTTCTTGGGGGTGGTCTATTTTCTTCTATAGTAGGTGGTGGATTGGGCACGTTGAAACGCGTTGGTATTGCTGTATTGTTACGCTTCAGCTGATTTTTTTTTCGCCGTAGCGAACTGTGAGTTCTCAAAGTGTTTAGAACAAAGAACGTTACTATAAAAGAGACACTCAGATGACTTGCCCAACAAATCCTTTCTTCGGCAGTTTACCACCCACTTCTGGCACCTCACCTTATCCTTAGGAAACCGAAAAAGCGAAAGATCTGGTCTATTATATCGTGCGTTTGAACAGTTCACTGCAGAGCACCACTGGCTTGTCTTTTTTCTTTTACCTTTAGACTGAAGTTGAAGATCGACTAGATCTACAGTTTAATTGCACTTAGGCCTAGATCTAGATCTAGTGTAGATCTAGTCTTCCATGTTGGCATTGAACACATTCACTTCACAGCCGTTTTCCATAGCAAAATATTAATTATCAACTCATTTACTATGTTCAAAATGTAAACAAACAAAGTTAGAAATAATTTCTAATCACTCCACTTTATTAAGACATGGCGAAACTGCTACTAACGTGGGAATCGCGGCTGTGGAATTAAACGGCGCCCGCTTTCTTCTTGTCGTCTGGCGTTTGTTTACGCTCTCAACGCGCATCTACTGTTTCTAGGGGGCGCGTAATCTAGAACCGGAAATATGGCTGTTGTCTCGTCTTGTCTTATTCCGTCTTGGGTCTGACGTCGGTGGACGCGGATCATTTTGAGTCGCTTCTACACCATGAAAAAACTTCGTACATTAGCATGGCCTGGAAGTGATCTTATTTTGGTGGACGCGTAGACTAAGGCATTTTACATAACGGGGTGTTTACGTACACGGTACGCGGACACCAGGACCTAGCCTCAGTGTCTACGTACACGGTAACCAGCAACCAGGCACGTAGTCTCAGTATCACGTACACGGTAACCGGGCAGTTAAGAATTCCAAGTTCAGTTTTCGTCATCCATGTTGCCTTCAACTTCAGCCCTCCCCCAACTAGATCTATACCTTTAAAAAAAAAAATCAATAATTCCCCCATTCCGGAGCTCTATACTTCGTAGCGCACAGACTTTGAATGAACTTCGGTGACCCCAACCGGTACTCACAATGTGATGCGAAAGCACAGGTTCACTGACCGATAACGATGGCGAGCCCGACAAGACGGGTGTGTAACTTTCTTTTTTTATTTCAACAAGTGACAGCACAGGATAAATACATGTATTGGTTTATTTTCATTCCGGTTACCGTGTACTAAGATACTGAGACTAGGTGCCCGGTTACAGTGTGTGTAGACACAAGCATCATGTACGAACAATATTCACGCGCGTGCGCACACACGCACACAAACACACACACACTCACGTACACCTCACACACGCACACACCTACTTTCTTATCACACGCGCACGCTTACACGCATTAGATAAAGGCCTAACCCAGAGAAGGCCACCTTCTCCGCCTTGCCTATGTCTCAGTTTGAGTTGTACATGATGCATTCCGGCCTGAATTTCCGGTTATAGCTTTTTTTAGAGTACGCTCAGTAGGCTTGAGCTGGGCCGATACCATGATTTACGTAGGCCTATCGGCTCTGTACCCGCATCTTTTCGTATTAAAAATTCTGTTAAAATTAAAGCGTTGATGTATTTTTGCCTAAAATTGCAAGAAATTGCGAAAATTGCAAAAAATTGCGAGTTTATTGCGGAACTCGACGAAAAACGCGTCTGTCATATTCGATAATAATAATAATCGATACAGATCCGGATATGACGTTGTAATCAATTCTAAAGAAATAAACTATTGCATTCTGGGTTACCGAAATGGCTGCCTCAATGTTCCTTACCGTTATCCCTATGTGTGTCTCACGTCTTGTTATGAATCCAACAATGATCTAGAGAACCCAACAAACACAACAGCGGCCGCAAGTGATTTCCAGGGTGGCCAGGCCATATGGCCTTAAAAAAAAAAAAGTAAAGTACTGCTATTTCGATATTATGTTAAGGGGCGAGGGGGCTACACCAGAAGGCTATCTCGCTTATTACTTGACCGAATTTTACCAAATTTCACACATATTACAAGCACAGTAAGGAGTCTTAAAAACCGCAATCAAATTTGAGAAAAGAGATTCGTTTCTATGGATACGGCGGCCATATTGGATTTTGTTGACTTGTCTTACGTAATGAATACCGCACTTACTGCTCATGGAAATTGATTGTTTTCCTTTTTTGTTAACAAACATTAGATCTAAAAATTTGTCAGTTTTTTTGTGTTTTTTTTGTATTACATCTTTTCTTCATTCTGTGAACATTTCATGAAGATTGGATGAAAAATGGTGGAGTTATTTTAAAAAAATATAGAGAAAAGTCGCGTTTTGAGAAAACGGCCGGTAAAGAAAAAGAAAATATTGACTCTAGTAGGAAATGGTGGTGATAAACATGCCTGGTTTGGGAAAAAATACGGTTTTTTGGGGTTCTTATTCAATGAAATAGTTGTAGGTAAGGCCGAGGAAGCTAAAAATGTCTACAACTCAAATTCCATAATTTTGAGCCTAATCGGGGCTTTGGGGGTGTAGCCCCCCCCCCCCCCCCCTAATTAAAGATTGTAATGTACTGCTAGTTTAATATTGTGTAAATATTCTTTTTTAGATTGAAAGTTTTACCTTGAATTTTCATCAACCAAAAATGAAGTCGTGCTAAGAACTGTCGTGAATGCAACCAACTCGTGTTTCGCGAGCTCATATGACATTATTCAGTAACAATTGCGAGGGCTATAAAACTCTTACTAAACTAACAAAAAGTATATGGACAAGGTGAATAGCCTTTTGTATAAAGACGAATCCATAGTTGACTTGTAACTCTAATAATAGACTGTTCTTTCTTTTTCAACTGGTGGGTGGTTGGCGGGTGCTCTGGTATGGTTTGCTCGTTCTCTCCTGTCACACGTTTATCTATCGTCCTGATCTCTCCTCCTTTTCTTTGTATGTTATTCTCTTGTAATACCTTTAACCTTCGATACTCATGTGAGTATTGCAAGTGCCGTAAAACTCTTTCTAAAACTTAATAAAATATTCTCCTCTCTGATATGTCAGTCTGCGACAATCCACGAAAGTGGGGTGAAGACTGCAACAATGAGTGCCAAGTTAGCTTTTGCTCCAAGTGCCTCAGGGTGACCGGAAATACATGTGCTGGATGTGACGACGGCTACGTGTTGGAGGCTGGCATATGCGTTCGTATGTTATCATCATCATCATCATCATCATCATCATCATCATCATCATCATCATCATCATCAACGTGGTCAGCCTCGTCGTAATCAAGTCCACCAAAAGTTTATAAGCCAATCCTCTTCACAGTTCATTTTTAGGATGTGCGACTGTGAGTCTGCTGGTAAGTGTAAGTATAATATTTTTTGTGCGCATCATTGATGAAATGTGGGTTCTTATGAGACTGCTAAGCTAAGAGTATCGTGGAAGGAAATGAAATCAAATGAGGTAGTGCTTGATGGAGCCCACGTGGGACGCTCAAAGTTAAAAACAATCAGGAAACGACAAATGCAGTTTTTGTGACACCTGAATAGACATGAGGGTCTTGAACATCTAGCTCTCACTGGCAACATTGAGAACAAAAGAGGCAGGGGTAAACCCACAACAACATACTTAGGGAACCTAAACAAATGGGTAACAGGGAAAGATCTGGGAAACGTAGCTTTTTTGAGAGCATCCGAGCAAAAGAATGAATTGAGAAACATGATCGGCGATATCTGTCGCAGATCTGGCACTGGATGATGATGATCATCATCATTAATTTTAAGGCGGTGCTACTCCCCCGATGTCGGGTGACTAGCGTCAGGCTATTCGCCCGATATAGGGTGGCAAGCATCAGGCTAGTCGACCGAATTCGGTCGAGTAGCCTGGCCCGTGGGGATTTCTGCGACCTCGGGTGGCTAGCATTTTCTGCCCTCCCGGAGCCGGTCACCTAGATCTAGATCGTGGCGTCGGTGGCCTAGTGGTTAGGCTCTCGGACTCGCAACCGTAAGGTCGTGGGTTCGAATCCCGTCAAGGGCCCGACGTTGTGTCCTTGGGAAAGGCACTTTACACGAATTTTCCTCATTTCACCCAGGTGGGAATGGGTACCCGGCTATAGACAGCGAAAGATCTTGTCAGTTTGTTAGTGTTTGAGCGCTTAATCGGCTGCTTGCACTGTATGCTTCCCGGGAAGCTGAGAATGTTTCGGAGTGTTCTATGGTCTGCTGGGGTAATAATATAGTGTAAAGCGCATAGAGCCTGCTGCTGAGCGGGGATATGCGCTATACAAATGCTATCTATTATTATTATTAGTCTTAGTCTTGTACGGGGTTTCTACTACGGCTGGATCTGGCCGATCGCAAAACTCGATCGCCTGAAACTGGAAACAAACAAGTTTGTTTTTGAGGCGACCGAGTTTGTGTGTGTATGTGTGTGCGTGTGTGTGTGTGTGTGAGTGTGTGTGTGTGTGTGTGTGTGTGTGTGTGTGTGTGTGTGTGTGTTTGTGTATGTGTGTGCCTGTGTGTGTTTGTGTATGTGTGTCTGTGCCTGTGTGTACCTGCATATGTGTGAGTCTGTGTGTTTGTGTTTTCTTTAAAACATCTGACCAATGTGCCAAAGTCTGGACTATAAAGATTAATCATAATAGTGGGTAGCTTGCAGATGGTCCGGTGCGGTTTAAATGTAATCTTCCTTCAACTTTTCCTATCAAACATCTATCGTCCTTGTATCCTCCTTCTTTTCTTTGTATATTACTCTCTAGTTAAACATTTTGTTTGTTTTGGCAAGTGGTTTACGGCGCTCAGAAGTGCATATGATTATGGTCATAATATTATTATGAGCGCACAGTTACACCTCTAATCTCCGCCCGTATATGACTTAATTCTGTTGGAATTGCCGTAAAACGTTTACTACAAGACTAAAACTAAAAGATTAATCGCATCTGTGCAATTTCCCCTTTGTCATCTTCAGAACCTGGAATGGGCACAGAAAACATCCTAATAATCGTGGTGATGCTGATCCTATTCCTTCTCCTGCTGTTACTTTTGGTGGCATTCCTTTTGAAAAAACGGTGAGAGAAATTTTTGGGGGGAGAAGTAGTGATTTTTGTTGATACTATTAATTTCTGTCTATCCTCTGGGAACTACCCAACACTTCTCTGGCCGATCGTAACAGGGAGGGTTGAGCAGCCCTCTTCCTACCCTTATAGGATTGGGGGGGTTTTTTGTTTTGTTTTGCCGTTGTTGTTGCTTGGGGGGGTAGTGTTTTATGGCGCTCGCTACCGCATAAGGTCACATATGAGCGCGCAGGACACACCAAACACTTTCAGTTTGAAGGAAATTTTGAATTTTGCCAACCCTTATCGATTTTGGAGCACCAAGAGTTCTTTAACATGCGCAACTTGCTCACGGGACCTCCGAGATTTTTCGCCCTTGTCAAAGAAGACTAGGTATAGATCTTTCCTACCAGTCAGAAGATAAGGGGTGTGGCTGAAAGACAGCTGTAAGATCCAGGGAGTAGCAATAGAAAGTCGGCAGAAAGAGTCAGCCAGAGGAGGGGATAAAGGAGATGTCAGGGTGGGGGCAGAAAGTGGAGACGAAAGCTGACGACAGAACATTGCTAGAGAGCAGGAAAGGAGGTGAAAGGAGACAATTTTAGACAAACAAAAATTTTCCGTCGCTACCGGGATTCGAACCAGGGACATTTGAACCAAAGGTAAACACCTTAACCTCTTGTCCACGATAGCCCCCTTACGATTAAGAAAGAGCAGACAGGGGAGGTAAACATTGCATTTTATGGGTGGTTGGCGGCGGATGCTCTCGTGTGGTTTGCTCCTTCCTTCCTACCGGACATCTATTCTATCGTCCGTTTCCCTCCTCCTTCTTTCCTACCGGACATCTATTCTATCGTCCCTTTCCCTCCTCCTCCCTTCCTACCGGACATCTATTCTATCGTCCCTTTCCCTCCTCCTTCCTTCCTACCGGACATCTATTCTATCGTCCCTTTCCCTCCTCCTTCCTTCCTACCGGACATCTATTCTATCGTCCCTTTCCCTCCTCCTTCCTTCCTACCGGACATCTATTCTATCGTCCCTTTCCCTCCTCCTTCCTTCCTACCGGACATCTATTCTATCGTCCCTTTCCCTCCTCCTTCCTTCCTACCGGACATATATTCTATCGTCCCTTTCCCTCCTCCTTCTTTTATGTGTGTGTTACTCTCTAGCAACACCTCTAATATTCAGCACTTACATGATCTAACTGTGTTGCAATGCAAGTACTGTAAAACGCTTACTAAAGCACAAAACATCTGGCTACAACAGTTTCAGTAAAGAGAGTCATACTGACATGATACTGGACGGTCGCTTTGTTCATGGACAAAGCAAGACAGACAGACAAACAGATATATGGCAAATAAAAATAAACAGGACCTGGAGAACTAGCGTTCTTCAACAACCTGGCAACCAATCAGTTTTTTATCAATGTATTTCCAACCAACCTACTTGGCATCAAATATGATTAATTCTTTTTCCCAAGTACCCGCTAACTAACTCGTATTATGTACGTTACTTAGTTTTTAAAAACTACCCACTAACAAATTTACTTAACTTAGGCGTAGAGTAATTTTATTATGCCCAAGTTGGGCCCACAAAACACCTTCTTTCACATTACTAATTACTCCAGTTTGTTTTCAACAATTCGTTAATCAACTTATTGCGAATCATTTATGATCGTCTATTTCTTTCAAATCGTCTGCAAGACAACTCCTTTTACATTGCTAATGATAATCACATCAGTTTCTTTTCAACCACCCATTAACCAACTTACTTGCATCAATTATGATCATCAAATTATTTCAAACCGCCGGCCAAACAACTCTTTTCGTATTACTAATTCCATCAGTTTCTTTCACACCAAACATTAACAAACTTAGTGGGTTGTTGGCAGGTGCTCTGGTGTGGTTTACTCCTTCTTTCCTATCAAAATCAAACATCTATTGTCCTAGGCTAATCTCTCTTCATTCATTTTTGTGTTTGTTACTCTCCTGCAACACCTCTAATCAGAATCTTCGGCACTTATATGACCTTATTGTGTTGCAAGTGCCGTAAAACTCTTACTAAAACTAAACTAACCAACTTTCTTTGCATCCACTTTTGTATGGCCAAGCAGCAAGAAGGAGGACCCTGAGTGTAAGAAGATCGCCGGGAGCGAGAAAGGAGACGAGGAGGACCACGTGGAAGATCCAGAACATGAAGATGAGGGTCAGGAGGAAAAGCACTCTGGAGATGATGAACATGATGAAGAGGAGCCAAAAGGCGAAGACCACCAGCCGTCGGATGATTGAGGCTCGATCGATGCCATGGTGTCACGATGCAGTGGAATCAGGCGCTCGTCAATTTTTGACCATATGAAGTCTTGGGTACATGTATTATAGTTAAGAGTGTTCATTTGTCTTGCTTGTGATGAAAAAATGATCCATCCATCTTTAACAGAAGTTGAGATATTTTGGATTGGAGGAGGTTGGGGTCACTGTTTTCAGAGCTAAAATAAGAGAGAAACTGGCCGTCAAAGTTTGGTGACTTCCAAAGATTGAATGTCCTTGAAAACTATAAATTTATATTGTTTGTACCTTTAACCAAAGAGTCTACACAACAAGAGGGGCCACTTCTCTCTTTGAGCCAATTAAAAAAAGTGTCCTCAAAATTCGGTGGCGCACTCTTCACAAAAGCGCACCTTTAGCGAGCAGAGTTATCCTACTTGAGTTTTAAAAAATCAAAGTGAAACTAGCAAGTTTTTGAATGAATTCCGGAAGAACGCTTTTTTAAAATGGTTACGCTGACAAAAAACCTCTTCCGGAGGAAAGGGTGATTGTTTTCTTCGCTTAATTGAGAGGTCATTAAAAAAATTTTTTAAACTAAAACTCCGTACTGAACGAACCCGAACTGCTGATGAACAGTCGATCTGCGCACGCAAGGAGGTGCTATTCCTATTCTTCTTCTGGAAAAACGAAAGAGAGCTTCAAAACAGACTGCAGTGCCATCTGAAGCAAAGAGCATACTTCCTGCGGACACTTTTTTGGCTGAGTGGCCCATCTTGTTATTTACTATCTTTGCTTTAACTAACGTTTTTCAGTAAAAGCCACGCCGCAATTGTTTTTAAATTGACATAAAAGGTGTGGAGTCAAAAATCAAAAATTTGACAAAAATACGTGAAATCAAAAGGGAAGAAAAGGGTCGTTTTCTTCGAGTTCATTATTTTGACAAGCGCCTGATTTCACCACGCTGCCTCTTGGCCATGGTTGGTCCCTTTGTTTGTTCGTGCGGCAGAGAAGAAGTCCCCGTAGTTTTATGCAAGAAAAATTTTGAAATTATGCAAACCGAGCATAATAAAGAATTCGAAAGGCATGGGGGTTGGGGTGGGTGGGGGGAGATTGACAGAGAGAGAGGGAAGGA